GGCTTGGAGCTCAGAGTGATTTACCCTAAACCCTAAACCCTAAACTCCTTCAAGTCGCTCCTGTCGCAGCCCTCGGTTTCTACGGCCTTGGGTTTGGGCGTTGCGGGTCTTCTTTGCAGGATCGGCTCTGGCTCTCTCTGGGGTTTTGGTCCCGGCGTCCGTGGTTAGGCTAGCTTCTGAGGGTTCTTTCTTGAGGGTTTAGGGTTTAGGGTTTAGGGTGCCTGTGCAAAAGGGTGGAGGCACTTCAGAGAGACCTCGTTCAAAAAGGGCTCAGGGTTTATAGAAGTTGTTAAGGGGTTTGGGGGTTGTAACGGGGGAACGGTAGCTTTGTTTTAGTGCTGCTTTCAGGTTTAGGGCTTGCAAGGGTGGATGTTTGGATCTTCGCTGGCTCTAGGGACCCTCGAAACGAGAGTTTCGGCTTCGATCGCGTTCGGTTCATGGCATTTAGGGCTTTGATTAAGGCCCCTATCCCCAAGCCCTAACCCTGGAAAGGGCAATCGGCTTCAGGATTTGTTGGTTGCTTTTTCGCCTACACCCTAAACCCTAAACCCTAAACCCTAAACCCTAAACCCTAAACCCTAAACCCTAACCCGTGACAGGCCGGGGTGAGGCCTTCGGGTGTATGCTTCACTCCACCCGAACGGCAAGCTTGAGACTCAAAATCCTGATATAGGGGCCGCAGTACTAAACCCTGAACCCTAAACCACTTAACCCTAAACCCTAAACCCTAAACCTTAAACCCTAAACCACTAGACCCTAAACCCGCAGTAAGTGGTAGCACAGTTGTATCCTGAAGCACTCTCCTTCCATTGTCTACTGATGCTAAGCAATTCTACTTCAGACCCTGCAGCACAATTCTGCCTTCGATTTTGTCTTGGACACTGTTCTGGCATTCAGGCCCCCTGAAGCCCACTAAAGCCCGCCCCCCAGCCCTGAAGTGGATTTCGGCTGATTGCAGGAGCTCTCCAACTTGGTGTGGGGCCTTGCAACGCTCGTGGCCCGCGGATGCCCCAAGAGGTTGTCGCCAAACTCAGAACTTTACTAAGGCCTGAACCCATACGAGTCGGGGTACAAGGTGGTACAACCGTGTCAGCTGCAGTTTGTATCAGAGTGGAGGGTATCTGTCGGTGCTCAGCCGGATTCAATCCAAGCCCTTGTTCAGGCTCTACATTCAGGGGTCCTTACAGTAACAGCTAACGGCAAAAGAAGAGCGAATGGCAGGTAAGGGACGGAAACGAGTGCGAGAGCAAAAGGGAGGGAGAGAAACAGACACGGGCCAGCGAGCAGAAAAGTGCGAGGACCAAGGAAAGAAGGCAGAGGGAAAGGTCGTCTTTCAGTAAATGTCGGAAGTCTTTGTTCTTTCGCTCGATCCTCTTTCCAACGCATCCCTGATTGCCGAAGTACATACTATTAATACTGTGTTGCTTACTTACCTTTCAAAGTCAAATATTCATGCCCTGCCTACCCAACCATCTCTATACCCTATGCTCAGCACCCAAACACAGGATTTAAGGTCGAAGGCAAAGGAGGTTCGAACCAGGCCAGACGAAGAAGCACATCGTAAGCCACAATGGTGAAGGAATGATGTGGGATCAATACATATATATATATATATATGTATATATATATATATATAGAAGGAATGATGTGGGGAATTGTTTCCAGCATAAGTCGTCTCCAAAGAGAACTGCATCAGGGGGCTTTGGGGCTTCTGCGGCTTCCCTTAAAAAAAGCGTCTCCCTTATCCATGCAAAAAAAGAACACCCAAAGGTCCGAAATTGCCGCTCGAATGACTCCAGGCCATCACACACCCCTCCTGGACCTCATTGCAGGCACAGCATCAAAGGGGATATTGTAGGCTGCTTGTTAGGCCGGGCTCGGTCGCTGGGTGCCGAAAGCCATGGAGAGTTTAGGCCCAAGGTTTAGGTTCTGGTCGGCCAGGAGTATTCTTTTACGTCCATTTACGTCACCTTCGGCTCCACATCCTTGAGGTCCCCGAGCCCTAAACCCTAAACCGGCCCCACACCCTGAAGTCCCCTCTAAGCCCTAAACCCTAAACCCTAAACCCTAAACCCTAAACCGTAAAACCCTGGATCTGGAAGGTCGTGCTCTCCGGATGTAGTTTGCAGAAGGATGAATGGGGAGAGATCTGCGAGGGAGGCGTTCCTGATGCCCTAAACTCCATCGGTTTATGGTTTAAGGTTTAGGGTTTAGGATTCAGGGTTTAGGGTTTCAAAGCCTGACATGAACCCGAAAAGGGGTGAAGCCCTGAAGCTTTCGACCCATCCTCGCGAACCTCGAAGCCTCAAACTTTTGGAGCAAACCCAAGCCCCCCAAATTCTGTAAAGTTCGCAGTGTAGGAGTCGACTCCCCCAACCCCAGCCCCTAAACGGCTGAAACTTGCAAACCCGCGAAAGCCCTCCCAGAGCCCCCAAGTGCGAGGTGCGGCGGTGGGACGAATCTCAGAGTTCGAACTGCCCCTCGCCGTCGAGAAATCGGGGGTTGTCGGTTCTAGGATTCCAGGGTTTAGGGTTTCGGGTTCAAGGTTTTGGGGTTCAGGGAGTTTGGTTTGTCGCAGTTTCTATTGTTGGCACTGGGAATTCAGGCCTTGGGGCTTGAGGTACCCGGGTTCAGCGTTTCGCGTTCTCGGGTGTTCGAGTTCCTCAGTTTGGGAGCCGCTTTCGGAAGCATTCGTCAGTTTCGGGTTTAGGGTTTAGGGTTTGGGCCTTTAGGGTTTAGGGTTTAGGGTTTCAGGCGGACCGACTTGCACAGGCACACTCGAATCTGAGAAAACACAGCAGGCAAGCCGGCACACAAGCTCACAAACAATCAACAGACAAATAAACAGAAGCAAACAATCAACCAAACCAGCAAGCGAACAAGGAAACACAGAACAAACAACAACAAACACAAGCCAAAGCTACCACACAGGCTCGTCCTGCCCACCCAGCCGTGTTCCCACCCGCCCGCAATTCTGGAAAGAAGGTGGGTTCCGTGGCACTCAGGGAAACTGAGGTTGCCGCGGTGTGGTTTTGGGCACCCGCCGGCATCGTAGGAACCTCACCAGTGTCTGTCCCATTCCCGGACAGTGGAAGGGATGATCCTCAACTTGAGTTACCTGCCCTGGGCGAGCGTACGAGTCGAAACCCTCAAATCAGGTTGAGTGTAGTAGAAAGTCTCCCTCAACTGGGGGGACCTTGCATTTCGGCAGCCCTCCAGCCCGAGAAGGTGCGGCGAAACCGTGGACACTTGCAGGGTGCAGGATTTACGATTCGTCGGCCTGACAAACCGACATTCTGAATCCGGAGCTCGAAGCCGGATTCAGGTCCGAAGCTGCAGAAAGAGGTACTTTGAATCGAGCATCTGAGAACTGCCCTTCAACTGTAGCCAAGCCTGGGCCCGAAGTCCTACCTAGCCGACCCAAATCAGGCAGCACCTGACGAACACTGCCTGGAGGCGGGCTGAGCCGTCACCAAAAACCCTACTTGGAGGTTCATGGGTAGTTATAAATGGAGTTATAAGTAGGGTAACTATAATTATAACCCAAATTAGGGGACTTATAACCAGGGTAACTATAATTATAACCCAAATTAGGGGACTTATAACCATACTTACAACTACCCATGAACCTCCAAGCACAGGCTCAAACTCAGAAGCCTGCAAAGCCCTACGGAATGTGGCGGCATCCCCTGAGGCCTACAGAGGCGGACAAACAGATAGACAAGCAGGTGAACACGAACCACCATGTGTGTGTGTGTGTACACTCCTCTGGCCTGAACCAAGTCCATTGCTGAAATAAAGAACATGCATACACTCACATATTCTACTACAACATGCAGGCATACATAGCGGCTTTTGTGGTTTTCTGCTTGCTTGCTTGCTTGCTTGCTTGCTTGCTTGCTTGCTTGCTTGCTTGCTTGCTTGCTTGCTTGCTTGCTTGCTTGCTTGCTTGCTTGGTGAGAGTTATGTTTCGTTGTTTGGTAGCTTGTGTGTTTGTTTGCTTGTTCGCTGGCTTGGTTTTTGTTTGTTTGTTTATTTGTTTATTTGTTTATTTGTCTGTCTGTCTGTCTGTCTGTCTGTCTGTCTGTCTGTCTGTCTGTCTGTCTTTTTGTTTGTGTCTGTGTTTGTTTGGTTGGTTTGTTGGTCTTTGGTTGTACATGCACGCATACATGCATGCATTCGTGCTGGGGTAGATGGACGCCCTTTGCTTTCCCTGAACCCCAAGCACAACTTCACCATATGCCGATCTTGCAGACTCGCCCGCCTCGCTGCCCTGAACGAGCGGCTGACGACGGCGATTTCAGGCCAAAGCTGAGCTGGGGGCTTGGGGATGAGTTTTAGGAGACAAGAGTTTGGGTCTTATTTAGGGCCCCTAACGGTTAGGACATGTGGGAGTTTCCGAAAAGAAGGGGGTACCTTATTTTGGACTCCTTATAATAAGGATCTTACTATTTAGGGTGCTATATTCGGGTCCCCTATTCCTGAAACCCCCATGTAGAGCTTGAGGCCTAGAGTAACAAAGAGTTTTGCGGAAAGCTGGGGCCCTTGAGGACCCTGCAGCCTCTTCCCAGACCTGCCTCCTGAAAGCGCGGTCGTTAAACGACTTCTGAGAAGTTCCGGGCTCGGGGCCGCGAGTTGTGCCCGCGGAACCCGAGCCAAACAGCGAATGAAGCAAGCAAGACAAGCTTGAAACCGAAACCCCAAGCAAGTTACTCCAAACGGTGCGGGAAGACGTGACGCACTTGCCTTGACTTCTGTTTGAGTCGTAAAGTACGGCTCAAGAAGCGAAGGCTTGCCCACCGGTCCCAATGACTTCAGCGTGTACCTGTATGCCAAACCCTAAGCCCACCCCGCCAAGCCTAGGCGGCAGTGAGAGAGGTCGGTCTTGAGGAACACACGATGTAGATGCTGAGGCAGCAGCTAGTGCCGCTGGCAAGCGGGAATTCTTGCAGCAAGCGGCATTACAACAACTAGGCCTTGAGCTCCAGTGCGTGCGAGCCATGGCTTCGAGTTCCGTTCCCTTCAGGGTGGGTTCGCTTGCCGAGCTGCTTGTCGACGACTATAAAAAGCTCGGCTTCGCACGTGGGTCGCACGTACAGGTCCTGGAGATAGTCCCTGGCGGCCCCATTGAAGGCGGGTGTCTTATCAAAGTCGCCATCGGCGGCAGTGGAATTGTTGGCTACCAGGAAAAGGACGACCTGCGGGCCCTGCCAGCACGTCCTGCTGTGGTCCCGGACCCACCACTGGCGCAGCCGGTGTCAAGACCACCCCAGCCCGAGGAGCCGCTTCTGCACTTCCTGCGTGAGCCGTCTCGTCTGATCTGCCTCCGACTCGTGAGTTCGTCGGAGCTGGGCCGGGTGGCCTACAACGTGCTGGATCAGATGCTGCCGATAGTTCGCCTGAGCCGAGAGGATATCATGCGGGTTGACACCTACCAGGATGAATGCCCCATTATGGAGCAGCTCCACTCCAAAGGCATTTGGCAATCGGAGACCTACTCCGCAGTCGCCTCGGTTAAGTGCTTCGACGGCAGCAAGCTGAGTGCTGTAGGGCTCGGGTCAAACCTCAGGACAAGAGACAGGGCGGTGCACCTCTCGCTGGCGACAGTGCTGGCCTTGGAGCTTCTGAAGGGCTGCCCTGCGGACTTGTTGGCGGCTACCCACCAGGTAATGCACGATTTTCCGGTGCTAGCCTCCCTTGTGAAGGAGGCCCGACAGATCAAACAGCGCGCTGATGAAGAGCTGACTCAGCCGCCTCCGCTGCCTCCGACTCCCACGCACGAGGAGTGTTATGATTTCGCCAGGCAGTTCATGGTCTTCCACGAGAACCCGAACCTCTGGTTTAGCGTGGGCCGTATCGGCGGCGAGAACGTCTGAGCCAGGGCACGAATACAGGCACGACCACCGTAATAGTAAGGTAGCTAAATAACACGAAAGCCTCTGAGATTGCATCCTGTCACCTTGGTAAGCTCCTGGATTTGGCCTGGCAGCCTGTAGTCCACGAGTGAAGCCTGCAGGGCAAGCTTGGCGAGCAGGGTTCAGGGTTTAGGGTTTAGGGTTTAGGGTTTAGGGTTTAGGATATATATATATATATATATTCTTGTCCGAGTGGTTGGCCTTGGCACTGCAGCCTTAGTCTGCCAGGCGTTTTCTAGCCCAGTTCACTTGAGCAATCGGCAACCCTGGCTTGACATTCAATGCATAATTCGAGTTTGACTGCATGGAGGCCACCTGAGTGTGGAGAATGCGAGGACTGGGCCCTCAGCCTCGTGGACCACGGAGCTGAGGTGTAGGATCTGATGGTGCCGCGCGACACTTATTGATGGAGACCTAGGCCTAGGAGAGCCCCCTTCTCGCTGGCCGCCTGCCAGTTGTTTTCAGTGAGCTGAGTTGGCTGACAGCGGTACTTGTATGCTTTCATCCCAGAGTCGGGTTGCGAGAAGGACGGTCGCGATCCCGTGAAGCTAATGTTCCGTCGAATGCGAGGGCTTAAAACTTTGTCTTGAGGAACGTGCAGGAGTGGTAGGGTAGCCCAGTATGTTCTTTTAGCGGTGTCGCTGTTAGGCTGGGGTTTGGTAGAGTCTCGATTGGCATGTACTGGGCTGCGGCCTTTGCCTCTTGCCTTGTCAGTGCGTGGGATGTCTGTGCTTCATGCTTAGTGTGTGGATTTATGGTGCGCGTGTCTCAGGAGTTGGGTTGGTCTGTGTTGTGTGGAGCCTTGACGGCTGGATCGTTGTAGTCTTTCAGTGTTACTCCCTGGAGCTTGTATGGGCTTACGGTTTCGGGATCTGTGCTCACCGCTTTGAGGCTGAGGGTGTAAGCCAAGCAATACAACTTAAACCCTTGAAACCACTCCTTTCAGAGGATGTGGAACTCCCATGAAAAGAGCAGAGAAGCGAGAACATTCGATTTCCGCTTTATTCGGGGGTGTCACGGTGTGAGATCCTCACACCGTCAGAAGCGATTTAGGGTCGATTTTTTCCAGTTTCGGTTGCTTCCCTTGCAAGTGTGCGCTCTTTCAGCCGAGGGAGTTGAAGGGGATTCGGTCATCAGATTCCCGTGCAGGCTGCGTGTAGGAGAAGGCGCACAAGCTCGACGTGGCGGCCTCGAGGTTTGGGATTCAGGTACGGGGTGTTCTAGAGAGCTCGACTATGGCCTCTCCTATGGCTTCAACGGCCTGACCATTTAAAAGCATCTCCTTAAGCCTAGGCCGCACCGCGAGGGCAGCCTCCACCGTCACCCATAAACATCCCAAAGCCCTAAAATGTTACAGAACATACAGAACGACTGTCACCTGCGACTCGAACAGCCGGCAGCGGCCTTCCAGGTAGGGGGGCTTTGGGTCCCTAGGTCGTAGACTCCCTGGTGCGGGCATCCCAGAACCTGAGATGATTAGGGCTTAGGGTTTGGTTTGGGTTTAGGGTTTAGGGTTTAGGGTTTAGGGTTTAGGGTTTAGGGTTCGGTTTAGGGTTAAAAGGGTTAGGGTAACTACAATAGCCCTGGTAGGAACCCTTCCCAGGAACCCTTCCGGTGTCTGGGCTCGGTGTCGAAGTGCTCACCGCCCTGGGGCCAAGGGCCAAGGCTCCGAAGCGCTAAGAATGTATTAGAAGCAACTCAGGAACCCTCCAAAATGCGATGAAGCCTTTGAGAAAGGAAGCAAAAGCAGCATGAGCAATTTTGACCTTTGTACAAGAACTACAGTACCTTTAGCCTATAACTTATAGGCTATAAGCATGAAATCCTTTACCCTTGAATCCTTGCAGAAGCCCGACAGAAGCACCATGAACAAACAGCCCTTCTCATCCTGTGGAGCTGCCTTGCCAGGGCTCAAGATGATTTCACCGGTATCCTTTGAAACTTCAACATCGGTGCCGCACCCACAAGTACGCGCTAAGCAGGTAGTATGTTAGTTCCTTGGCAAAGCCCTTCCAAGGAGAGTGTGACCTTCCTCCGGCACTTTGAACCCCAAGCCCAAATCGACCTCTACGGTCTGGACTTAGACCGTCAGATCGGGCAGACGCGACAAGCAACCAGCACAAGAATCCAGGGCTGAACTTCTCCCAATGCGGCTCCCTCTCCGACCCTCCCTCAAACCTCAAGCCTAAACCCTAAATCCCGAGAAACCATCTTCACCGCGGGTTTGCATGTCGCCGCCGGCTCTGTCCGACGCTGCCACCGAACGGGGCGACGGCACCGCCAGGTGGCAGTGCAGTGCACTCGGAAAGTTGGACCAGCTAAACTGGTCCAGGGTGTTCTTAGCTGTGTTGGCAGTGTAGCGTTAGAACGGTCTTGGGCGTGCGATTGCGCTCGTCATTCCTACCATTCCGCTCCTTGTTTCGTGACTTGCTACTACTGCGACGCGATTTGGGAGTTTCCGAAAACAAGGGGTACCTTTTTGGGGTTCCTTATAATAAGGATCCTACTATTTAGGGTACTATATTAGGGTCCCCTATTTTCAGAAACCCCATTTGATTCTTGTTTCGTAGACTTCTGCCTGCTTTCGCAAAGCTGGCGGATCCAGGCGAGGGAGCTGGGCCGAGTCGTCTGCCACATACTTCAGCCGCCAGCCGCTGTCGCCCAAAGATGTCGTGAGCCGGGCAGCAACTTATGTGTATTTTGGGGTTTGTTTTTCGGTTTTCGGCCTCGCTTTTCCTCCTTGTCTCGCTTCCACAGCTGCGCATGCTTGATTATGCTCGTGCTCCTCCTCCTCCTCCTCCTCCTCCGGCTCCTGCTCCTCGTCCTCGTCCTCGTCCTCCTCCTCCTCCTCCGCCACCTACTCACAACGACGACCCAAGCACTGTCTATGGTTTCGGTGTTGAACTGTTTTTTCCAAAAAGCGATGTCAACCCGAGTCCCCATTCCGACTTTAGTCTTGAAGCTTCAGTTGCAAATGGCAATCCCTGAAACCGAAATTTCACCTTCATGTAAGGGCAGCAGCAGAGTCCCTTGTGAAAAAATAGTATGCACACCATCCCTCAAACCCATCCGAAGCCTGAGCCTTGAATCCCTGGCCTCAACTCAGGACCGCGTGCGGACGGAGTTTCGCCAGCTCTGCGTGCGGCACTACGGCTCCCTAGTGGGTGCCTGGAAGGCCAGACCTGAGCCATTTGAGCAACTACTTTGGAGGTTCGGTCCATGTGGGCTTTCGAAGGGGTCGGGCTTTGGGGTCTACGGAATCCACGCTGCGTGTGAGCCTAGTGTTTCGAGACTGCTCTGTTTTTTCGAGGCCATGGACGTGAACAGCGACGGGCGCCTGAGCTACTTCGAGTTCCTCCGCGCCTGCAAGCACATGCAGATGCAAAACGCGCGGGCCGTGTGGTCGGCATTGGGCCGATCTGGATTCCTGGCCGACAGTGTTTGCATGCCTTGTGCTTGTGGACCTGGAAAGCTTGGGAAGCTTCAAGATGTAGAAAGCTGAGAAGACAAGACATCAGCAGCAAAAAGCATCCAAGCACAGAAATGTCCAGCAGCAGTAAGCCCGTTTAAACTCTAAACTGTCGCATGCAAAGAGCAAGCATCGTGATGGTTGCGAGCTTTAAACAAGGTTTCGTCAGCTTACAAGAACTGGACCCTTTGCTGGCACAGCAGTTGGGCTCCCTCGCTGCCAAGCTCTGGCCCCTTGTCCTGGTTTTGGCTAGGCAGCTGCTCGTAACATCAAGGATTCAGGGTTCCAGTGGTCGTTCTATGACCGTTAGCCCTCAGGCATAGGCAGTTATGTAAGTGCAGAGTTCTCTTTCGTTCTCCTTCGGCCATCCAGGACTCTCTTTGGGTCCCTTGAGGAAGCCTGGCGCAACTGCTTCAATCCGACTTCGCGGCTGCGGATCAGCCGAGACGACTTCGTGCAAGCGTGCGAAAGTTTTCGCTTCAGGCACGGCGAGGTTTGCTTCGCCGAGCTCTGCTCAGAGAAGGCCCGCAGCGGCATGAGCCGGAAGGAGCCGAGCTTGAATCCCCAAACTCTGAATTCACCCTGCGAAGCTCGCTCGAGAGTTAAGCCTCAAGCGGAAGGAGTTCGGCTTCCTTCATACCTGGCTTGGCCGTGGCCCGGACCGCGGCTTCATCGACCCTCCTCCCTCTCGCTGGGAGCAGGAAAGAAGACCCTGGACCCCTCCTGTGCAGAGACTGAAGCTCGGCCCCGTGAGGGCAACTAGGCTTCGGCGTACGGAACTCAGATGGGAGTTTCCGAAAATAGGGGGCTTTTTCTAAGGATCCTATTATTTAGGGTACTATATTAGGGTCCCCAATTTTCGGAAACCTCCAGATCTCAGCGGCTCCTTCAGGGGCTCTCAGGCGGCTAGGGTTCCTGGCTCACGATATCCAGCAGGCTTTTGCTCAGTGGGGGTGTTCAACGCTATTCCTTCAACCAAGAGGTTTCTTCAACCAAGGTCACAAAGCACCTCAAGCCAGTTTGATCATGATAGTAAGGACCCTAAGAGGTTTCTTGCTTGTACAAAAACCTCATCAAGTAAGGAAGAAGTTCGAGCGGCGGCAGAAGTTCAAGGATTGCCTTCTCAGGTCCTATGGCAACTCGGCCAGGAGTCGCCTGCATTCCTGCCCGCTTGTGTTTCAAGTGGGCTCCAGCCCGAGCACCGAGACGACGAGTGGGGAGTGAGTATGGTCAGTGTCGCCACAAAATACACACACACACACACACACATATATATATATATATGTGTGTGTGTACATATATATATATATACATATGTATAGTTATGTATACTTATATAAATTTGGAGTATACCGTTCTTGGAAGGATCCCCGCGGACTCCTGAAATGGCTGTTATCTTGCGAGCGGGCGGGGCACTCGAAACCTATGCAAACATTTTCCTATTTGTAGCTTGATCGAGTTTAGGGAGGGTTTGGAGTTGTGAAGTTTTCGAAGCCCAGAACTTAGCACAACTCACTTTGCCTACGCTGCGTGGAACTTTGCCCTTGCAGTGCGAATGCCCAGGCAACTTTGTCCGGGCATGGCGCGAGGGATTAGATCGAGACCACAACCACAAGCTGGACTATCACGAGACTTTTTCTCAATGATCGGTGCAGTTAAGGTCTTTGGGTTGGGTTTGCGATTTGGATTGATTTTTTGGAACTGTCCCCGGAAGTGTGGATTGGACATGCTTGTGGTCAAGCCGGATGGGATGCTTGACGAACAGATGATCTCTGTCGATTTCCGTGCACCTGAGGAGTTCAGCACAGCCGTGAAGGCCCTTCCGCTTCAGAAGGGGGGTTGGGGATTCGGCTACCGAGCACACGTGCGAACCCCAAACCCCAAACACTGCTTGAAAACAAGATCAGCACGTCTTGATTGCTGCAGACATGCGTTCAGGATGCAGGTTCAGGAACGACCTCAAAGCCTTAACATCGCAAAAGCTATGTGTCCTACCCCCTCCCCTAACCCTAAGCCTCAAGCCACTCTCAAGCCCGAAACTTTTCAACCCTAAGCAAGGTCGTGCTCACTCCGCACGGAAAGTAAAGGTATGTGAAGTGATCGGAGCCGCCAACCCCCCCGCAGGCTTCAACCCCCAACCGATCCAAAAAGGCAACAGTGCCCTCGGGCCCCCTTAACCCTTCGAAGCCAAGAGAAGGCCTAAGCCTTCCACGGCGCCCCAAGAGCCCAGGCCCCGTATCAACGAAGCCTTGCCCCATATCCCCAAAACCCCCTTTGCAGAAGCACCAGAATCACTGGAAATCCTGAGCTGCGCTAAAGCCCTCGACCGCCAAGACCCCAAACCCTAAAGCCCTTGGTTAGAAGACCCCTGCCAGATGTTGAAAGACCTATCATCAAACCCCGCACAGGAACCGTAACATCTTTTCGCATATTCGGAGAACCAACCCGTCCTGAAACCTAAGCTCCCTCGCGCTAATATTAAACCCAATCCCCCAACCAACCCCCAAAAGCTCAACGCAGAACACCTTTTCCTGCAAGATATAAGGAGCCCCTAAACCCTAACTCCTGCGATTGGATGTTTCACCTGAGCAAGACCTCGAACCAACATGCCTCGCCTGGATTGTCCGAGTGTGAGCGCCGAAACCATAAATCCCACCTCTTGGTTGCCTAAACATCCAAGACTGCTTTTAACATGCACACTTTGGGCAGGATGTGGGGTACCCGGGGAATCTCCGGGAGCTGTGGGAAGAGTTGGACCTGAACGAGAACGGCTTCGTGAGCCTCTGGGAGCCGCGTCTACAGTTTATATAGACGCGGTGTCACACACAGTCACACATACATGCATACATACGCAAGTGCATACATGCATACATACATACACACATACATACATACTTTATGTTTCTGTATTTTAGGATAGAGTAGTGTAGTGTAGGATAGGCTGGGTTTGGCGTGGCGCGGGCTGGGGTGGGATGGGACGGGATGGCATGGCATGGCGTGGTATGCGGAGGTGGGGGTTTCTCGGGGAGCCAGGGTTTCAAGGCGCTGTTTTGTGCAGTTTTTTTAAAGAATGTGTTTGTTTTTTGGGTGTTCATGCAGCAAGTAAACATGGATCGCTTTGGTGCAGAGGAGCTGGATGAGCCGACAGCCGAGCTTTTGAAGGCCTTGCATCTGTCATGCACTTTTGAGTGTATGGCGTGTCTTTGAAATGGCTGAGTTGATAAAGCTAAGTACATGCCAACATCTCGAGGAGTAGCTGTAGTGATCGGGCAAGTTGTCACGGAGCCTCGCCTGCATTGTGGGAGAGTTAGAGTCGACGCCTGCCATGCTAAACAAAAGCCACCACCCCTAAACTAAACCCTAAACCCAAAGCCTCGTTCCGGTACTCGGATCCTCGCCGGCTTGTCTAGTTCTGAGTGCTGAAACCCACAGCCTTGCACAGCTTGCAGATGTACCTGCGCCGCAGGTTTGTCCAAGCAATGCGGGAGGGGAATGTAATGTAGGAACCTGATCAAGAAACCCTAAACCCTATAACCCCTATATATTCGGGTCCGGGTTCATATTAAGAACCCTAATAAAGAGCCAAGGTTTCTTAATCAGGTCCCTACATTAGACCAATGCTCGGGAGGCCTTTGTGGACTTGGCCCTGGCTTTCTCGGGGAACTGGAGGCCGGAGGGATGCGACGATGGCCCAGGTCGGTGTGGAGCTTTGGGCTTAGGGTTCGGGACTTCTGCGTGCAGCACCGTCCGAGAGCTGTGAGACACGAAATCCTAGAGGTCCTTCTGGACGGAGCTTCTGGACATTCGGGGTGACGACCGTGTGCGGCTTTCGGAATTCCGAGACGCCTGCGCCCTGATACTCGGTGGCACCTTGGGAGGGATCTATGTGCTTTGACATTTCGAGATTGCCAGCGCCTTAGCACATGCGTTTACCCCAACGCTGATCGACATCCAAGTGCCACGAAGCACAGGCGTTTTCCCCACGATCTTGCTCGACATCTATCTGAGATTTCGATATCGTCAGCCCCAAAGCACAGGCGTTGCCCTCCCCGGATCCTGCCCTACACTAGATGTGGCCTGTGATACTGTAGTTTCAAGCCCGCCGAACTGGACGGATGTTGTGCTGCCTTGAATGCAGCGGCAGAGAGACATCTATGTGCGAGAGGTTTCGAGACTGTCAGCCCCAAAGCACAAGTGTTCAATCCGATCTTCTTCAACACCAGCCCCGAGCTTGCTCGAATCTATGTGCTGTGAGAGATTTCGAGACTGTCAGCCCCATCCCGTGCTGTTGGCTCCCATGTGGAAGCTGCAAGGCAGAATCTTAAGTCCTAGATTCCAGTCGTGCCCGTCTGCCCGACACCGCCCCCGGTCCAAGCTCGGAGCCTTTAACCCGGACTTCCTTGCTTGGGAAATGCTCTCAGAAACCCGAAGTCCCAGCAGCCTCGAGCTGTGGCCTCAAGTCCCAAAGTTCTCATAGCCAAGGCTTGCCTGAACAGTCCGTAGCCTAAGCCCTGCACGATTGGCCAGGATCGCTTTCGATGGAGACGTGGATGTTTTGCCCCTCGTCACTAACGGGACTGTATAGAGTGACAGAAGCCATGCATCGAAGTTTGGCGGGGGGGATCACTCTCCTTGCAGTTTGGTATGCTTTGCATCCTGGCCATATGAGGCGCCAGCTTGGTCTGTGTAGTGGATCGAGTGCATACGCGAGTTTAGTGTCGAGACAGCATCTTGCAGGACAACATCTTGGACGCAGTAAATGGTGATGGTGGGTGTTCATGCAACGGGAGCAGAAACAGGAATACTTTAGCAGTCACGATCTAAACTTCTCTCAAAGGTTCGAGCTGCTAGACACGGACAAGACCAAGTACTTGAGCTGGGCCACAACATCGTGGCTTGCCACCGCGGAGCTTGACGAGGATTATGAGGAGGAAGAGGCCGGAAGCCCGCCCGAAAACCTTGCATTAAGTCGAACTTACACGTGGTCGCAGTTTTTGGGACATGCTTGCCATGACGATTGTTTGAATCGTAAAGCGGGGTTCAAAGTGGTCATGGCTGGCCCACCGGTCTCACTGTGACTTCAGCATGTACCTGTATGCCAAACCCTAAGCGCGGCAGTGAGAGAGGTCGGTCGTGCCGCTGGCAAGCGGGAATTCTTGCAGCAAGCAGCATTACAACAACTAGGCCTTGAGCTCCAGTGCGTGCGAGCCATGGCTTCGAGTTCCGTTCCCTTCAGGGTCGGAGGACTTGCCGAGCTGCTTGTTGACGACTATAGAAAGCTCGGCTTCGCACGTGGATCGACCGTACAGGTCCTGGAGATAGTCCCTGGCGGCCCCATTGAAGGCGGGTGTCTTATCAAAGTCGCCCTCGGCGGTAGTGGGATTGTTGGCTACCAGGAACCGGACGGCCTGCGGGTCGTGCCAGCGCGCCCGGCCGCGGTCCCGGATCCACCACTGGCGCAGCCACAGGTGTCAAGACCAGCCCAGGTGCAGCACCAGAACGCCCCAGCTGCGCAGGAGCCGCTTCTCCACTTCTTGGTCGAGTCTCGCTTGATTTGCCTCCGACTCGTGAGTTCGTCGGAGCTGGGCCGGGTGGCTTACAACGTGGTGGACGCTATGCTGCCGATAGTTCGCCTGAGCCGAGAGGATATCATGCAGGTTGACACCTACCAGGATGAATGCCCCATTATGGAGCAGCTCCACTCCAACGGCATTTGGCGCTCGGAGAACTACTCCGCAGTCGCCTCGGTTAAGTGCCTCGACGGCAGCACGCTGCGTGCAGTGGGGCTCGGGTCGAACAGGAAGACAAGAGACAGGGCGGCGCACCTCTCCCTGGCGACAGCGCTGACCTTGGAGCTTCTGAAGGGCTGCCCTGCGGACTTGTTGGCGGCTGCCCACCAGGTAATGCAGGATTTCCCGGTGCTTGAGGCCCTTGTGAAGGAGGCCCGACAGATCAAACAGCGCACCGATGAAGAGCTGCCTCCGCCGAACGTCTGAGCCAGGGCACGAATACAGGCGCGACCACCCTAGTAGTAAGGTAGCCCTAACTCGCTGCTAAATGACACTATGCCTCTGAGACTGCATCCTGTGACCTCGGTAAGCACTTTCCTAGATTTGGCCTGGCCGCCTGTAGTCCACGAGCGAAGCCTGCAGAGCAAGGCAAGCTCCCCCTGTCGAAGTTGCTGGCTCCGGCACTGAAGCCGCGGTCTATCAGGGTTGTCGTTTTCTGGCCTAGTTCACCCGACATGTAGAAGACACAGATCATCTTCGAGCAAGTCTTGTTCTGGAAGGGGATGCAGGGAATAAGGTTCGGTCACAATCGGCAATGCTGGTAGGCCCAGCTGTGTCTCGTTCAAGAAGGGAAAATGCATAATTAGATGTCTACTGCACGGAGTCCACATGAGCGGTGACAATGCGATGACTGGGCCCTCTGCCTCCTGGACCACTGAGCTGAGGCGTAGGATCTGATGGCGCCACGTTTCACGTATTGATGGAGACCCGGGAGAGCTCCCTTCTCGCTAGCTGCCTGCCATTCGTTTTAAGTGAGCTGCTTTGGCTGATAGTGGCTTTGTATTGTTTAATGCCGAGTCCGGCTGCGAGAAGGACGGTCGCGATACTGCGAGGCTAATGTTCCGCCGAATGCGAGTGCCAAAAACTTGGTCCTGAGGAACGTGCAGGAGTGGTAGGGAAGCCCGGTTTGGTAGAGTCTTGATTGGCATGTACTGGGCAGCGGCCTTTGCCACCTGCTTTGTCAGTGCGTGGGATGTTGGTCTGTGTTGTGTGGCGCCTCCCGTGTACCGGCTCCTTGTAGTCTTTCAGTGTTACCCCAGACTTATGGATGCCTGCCGTGCGGGTCGATACCCGATAGGCCCGACACTATGCCGAAACCTTCAACCCTCCATAACTGGTAATCTGGGACAGTGCTGTAGAGCGACCTCAGAGGAACCTTCTGGGGGACACCGGGGCGCGGTCGTACCAGCAAATTTTGGATTTCGGGATGCTCCTATGGCAGTGTTCCGGAATCAGGATTTACGGCAGCCACTGTGGAAGCTATTCATGAAAAAGTTTCAGCCGGGGAGTGGGGAAAACTTGACCCAGCTTCGCGAAGCCTTGCGCAGGACCAGATGCCGGACTTCATGAAAACCACAAAGGACCGCGCGTTGAGTTCCTGCAGTGAACTCCTGGGCGTGAAGCCCAAAGTTAGACCCTATACTCTTCCGAACCTCCGACCAAACCCATGTTCACTCCAAATGCTTGTGCCCGAGATCGTACCCTTTGTTTCCTACCGCGACATACAGCAGCAATACTACCCTCGCCCTGTCGACAGTCCCAGCGACGACTTGCGCACAACAAGGCAGGGGCCGGCCTGGGCGGCTGTGACCGGAGGATGCTAGATGTTGTGTGAGACGGGCAAGGCTTCCATGCACATGTCCTAGGTAGTATAACGGAGACCCTTAAAGGGTACCCCTTCTGAACCCTACTTTCGGCTCTCTTGAAGGGGACCTTATTGAGAGGGTCTATATCCCCAAGGGTCCCCCTAATCCTAGCTCCCAACATGTAAGGAGCTCCTTGAGATGCTTCTTTGCCGACGGATTGCATGTCATCCGTCGAAGGGTCGTAGTGTCTCATGAAGGTATGGGCTCGCGGTTACTCGCAGACCCACGGGTGAGCATAGCAAAACAGAAGGAGCATAAAGTTCGAGGTAGGACCCCGGAAAGCGTCAGGGCTCTGTGGTTGTAGAGTTGTCGGGTGAAGGCTTCGGAGGGTTGCAGAGCCAAAGCGGACCTAGGCCTGATAGGCGACAGAGGGTCTCCTTTACCCAGAGACTACACAGAAAGTGCGGGAGGCCCGAGACCGCCGGGTTCGAGTCAAGCGCTTTGAGGGCCGGGCACGTGGTGTGCCTTGGGCATGAGGGTGTCGTCAAGATTGGGGCTCTAGGGCACTCTAGGGCTTCAGGGTGAAGTGGATTAAGGTTGCGACAGTGTCGGGCTTGCTTTCAGTGAAGAGTAGCAGGTTATTAGGCTTAGGGATTAGAGCTAGGGGATGTGGGGCTGCAGCAGGGGCGGTGGGTCTGCCTGGTGTTTTGAGTCTTGAGGTGGGTGTGTTGCATCAATGGATTCGGATAAAGTTCTTGGAGACTGCTGGGTATGGCCTATAGCCTTGAACTCTGCAGATAGCCCTCACTTGAATTCATCCTTACACGCAAACGGCCTCCTGTGGCACAGGGAGAAAGCCGTCATAGCAAATTGGCGAGCCTCTGCACCGACAGCATAGAAGAAGGCTGCAAGATTATGTTTTCCCCGCGAGAGCAACAGACGAAATTCTTGCCGCGCATTTCTCCAGTTTCGTCCGGATCCCCCTTGCTCTCAAACTCACCAGAAACTTAACAACCTCGGCCTCAGGAAATCCCTGGCAGTCATGTCGCTGCCGGGACCGCGATCCATGGAAGCACCATGAAGTCTCCTGCTTCCGAGCCTTCGGCCACAGGGAGCCTCTGCCGAATGAGGATGCATTGAAGGCTCGAGGGTTTATCTAGGGATTGAACCCGTCAAAGTTCTTACAGACGAGGGGCAAAATAACGGCCGAGACACGTCGTTTAGGAGGTCTTGTTTCGATTGTTATGATGGCTGGAGTCCCTGGTTAATCAATGCTTCCCAACCCTAATTGAACGTCGATGCATGCGGTGGGTTTCGGGGTTTCATTGGCTGTTAGGGTCTGCTGGAGCATCGTGTATCTCATTTCCCGAAGTTTGGAGAAAGTCTGCAGTAAACGACTTCTGGAAAAGAAACCCGTGAAGTAGGCGGGCAAAATTATGTAGAAAAGAATCAGTTTGTCTTCCGAGGCCGATGGAAAAAAGCGTGTCTGCTCCGGGGCTGGCACAGGCCACCGGTTGTCGGGTTACAAGGCATGCAGAAATCAGGGTTATACCTGGCTACATGCGTTGTGTAAGAGCGTGTACAGGGATTATTGAGGCTTTTTGTATGGGTGTCTTCGTGTTCCTTTACCCTATCGGCTTCGATAGGGCAGCAGGCGCGGCTTCTCAATATTATGAGGGGGTCGTACTACTTCATGCGTTTCTGCCAGCAACAGCTGTGCACTTTGTAGCTTGTAAACCTTCCCCTAAACTTGAAATGCAGACCCGAACTGGCCGCGCACCTTTACAGCCTAAAGCCTGATCAAAAAGACCTTCAAGAACCCTCACACAGGCCCCCGTGGAATTACAGCACCCTTATGCAACCCTAAACCCTAAACCCTAAACCCTAAACCCTAAACCCTCAACTCTGAGCCTGTAGAGGCCTCCCAGAGTCTGAGCTCCCACTCCTACTCCGCCGCCTGGGCGACTGCGGGCAGCTGGGCGCAAGCATGCGTCGAACTGCCTTGGGGGTCGCACTGTTTTGGGGGGGTTAGAGAGGGGCAGAGAGAGAGGGGGCGGGTCTTTTTGGGGCGTTATGCGATTGGGAGGTAGGCTCTTGGGGGGTGTGGGGGTTTGGGTTGTTGAGGCGTAGCTTGGGAGGCTTGACAAGGTCGGTGGTTTTCGCAATCCGGTGTATGTAAGTTTTGATTTTGTGATGTGTCGTTCCGTGGCCCTTGGTCTTCACGCCTTTAGGCATATCCTCATACTGTATTGCGCGATAGAAAGCATTTGGCAAGATGCTTGCCCGGTGCCTTTCTTTGGATTTCCATCTATTATTGTACTTCCCAAGCCTTAAAATCCTAAGCGCTTTCAGCTTTACATTCTAAAGCGCCGATTCCTCATACCGTGAAGGCACAAGAATGCAAGCTAACACTGGCTAACGCCCCAAAGGCGAATTCGTACAGTGACCCTTTAGATCAACACCACTGAGATCCCGATCTTAAACTCCTAAACCCTCGCTGGGTTGCCCGAGTTGTCAGAGCATAAACCTCTTTTCAAGTATTCTCTCTGACTTAACCCTCGTCCTAGCCAGGTGGGAGCCCCAAAAAACTCCACCATGCAAACCCGGACAGAAAGTGGAGCAAAAAACAAACCTAATCCCTAAACCTAAACCCTATACCCTAAACCCTGAACCCCCCAGGCGCCTCCTCGAGTCGGGTCACCGGCCGACTGGCCTCGCCGCCCACGGCCGAGGACCTGCCCCAGCTGCTCGGTGTGCGAATTTTGTTTCGCTCGGTGCGGTGTCGATCTGTTGTTGTTGTTGTTGTTGTTGTTGTTGTTGTTGTCGTTGTTGTCTTCTGGTTAATTCTCTTGAACACCTCAACTCTTCTAGTCACTATCTGGTTTCCATACTTTTTCCGTAGATGGTGGCTCTGTTAAAGAGGGGACGGATTGGGCCTGAAGGGCAGACGTCCACAAGTTGATGGCGCTTTTCTCTAGGCTGCGTAAGAGGCTGTTGGACAGCACTGCTCTAAACATGTTTAAAGGGTTTCCAGATTCCAGTTTGATTAGCCCGGCATCTCTGCACTTAGTTTTGGATCAGGTAGAAGCTAGGGGTGTGACGCGTCGTCGGTTCATGCTCCATGGATTGAGGACGGCAACACCCGTGGCCCTGTAGCGGTGTTTGCTAGAGGAAACAACCCCTAAGCGAACATCATGGGCACCAGTTGCTGCCAGCTAGGCCCTGCTATTCGATACAAGACAGGCGGCGTAGGGTTTTTGGAAGAGGCAAGCATGCCGAGTATCATGGGCATCAGATGCTACATGCTTACCATTTTGCTTTCAACATAATCACGAACACTCTGCTTTGCTGCTGGCGTCGCTGGGTTTCATGCGCACAGCCCTACCCTCGACTGTGATATGAATTTGTCATGCTCCACTGTATACCGTGAGCAGTACTCTTACAGTGTCTTAGCGCAGTGCCACAAAGCCTGGTGAAAGAAGCGTCTTGCTTACCCGTCTGCGATAGAAGGTGGCTGCTGATTGCCGAGGGCCGGGCGAGGATGCTGTCAGGGTTTGGGGTAATTAAGGCCCTGAGCCGAAACCCTTTGAAGCCGAACTTGAAGGTTTTTCGGTTTGACCG